CGACTATTAAATTAGTCGTCGACGATTTTAATAGTCGACATAATCGTGACTAGTCGACTAATCGTGGCAGCCCTACTCATCAACCCAGTGTATGAAAGTTGAAACAGCATTAAATGCACCATCTTCCCGATGCTAATGGATCCTGTCCTGATCAGCATGTGCTGCCTTTACTCTTTGGAAGCTAAGAGGTGTGCTCGTGCTATCCAAAAAATATTGTTCCATCTTTTTCATTCTTTACTTTAGTGATTTCCCTAAATGTACGTGAGGCCGCAAGCTGTAGCATCACTGACTCGGCGTCGTATTACTGCAGCACCTGGGTCTTGCAACCTGTTAAAGAGAGTACCCCGATTCTTGGCCTGACACTTGCCTACAATGCACAGCTTCTCACATTTCACAGGTTGCTCGCCTTTCTTGTGTCCACGAGCTATAGATCCCTGAGCATGTTTGGTTGCCTTGACAGGGACGTATTCATCAAAGCTGATGAATCGGGCTGCCGCACTTTATGTGTTAGCTTCTGGGTTACATCTGTACGTCTATTGTTTGAGGTTGTATGACCTTTTTGTCAACTTCATGACAGAATAGTGATGCTGTAGAAACAATGGTTCAAACCAGCTTCGGTGCTGCTGCAAGGCTCATCGCTACTACAGGTATTATTTCTGGATACAGTCTGTTGACATGGAAGACTTCTTTGTTTTGTTTGTCCATGGGGTTGTCAGGTATTTGTAAGAACGCCACCCTGGAAACGAGAGATTAATTCCCATGTCTGAACAGATTTCCTGCTTTGTTCCCTTTCTGTGCAGTTTGCTTTTGTTTTGTTGTTTTTATTTAACTCTACTGATCCTATAGGCTTCCTTTTCGATTCCCCAGCATGCAGATACAAGTAGGCAGCACACGAACGCACGCATTTGTAGCCCCAGTATCACAAGCGTTATTTGTGTGTGTGAAGGAGGGGGGCGTGTGCGTTTCGCTTCTGTCAGTCTTGATACAGACCAGTGATTTTCAGAGCTGGCGACACATTCCGTGAAATTAGCCCAAGGCCGACTGCAGCGCTGACACCGGGTCAGCTTTTCCTCATGTGCTGAATGATCAGAAGTCAGATTGACTGATGGTAATATAATCCTCCAAGCACTGGCGGGGGGATTAGTGGAAATGAATATGGCAGAAAGCAGTAATGTTCTCACAATAGATTAGGCCTGTTGACATGTGTATGTAGGAACATGATGAAGCCTCACATAGGATCTCTCTGTCTTTGTCTCAAACACACGCAGTGTGTGAGTCAGTCTGCACCAACGGGTTGTGTTGTGGTTGTATTCCCGTATAAACGCAAGGTTGCCGATGTCCTTTTGCAGTTAAATTGCCATCCTGCAGCAACTAGGTCACTGTTAATAGAGGGATTTTCTGTTTCATGAGGTCTGTGTATCTGAGGTTTTGGTTGGACTCTGAATGAAGTAGATAATGTGAATTTCATTGTATGCAGATGACAACAGATTTAACACAATCATCTTATCTCAAACAGATTGCATGCGATTGCCATCTCGACCCCATTCATTCACAAACAGCAACTGACTGCAAGTAGTCATAGGATTGGTCGCCATCTTCAGGGCAACCAGTTAAAAGCAAACTTTTTTTTTTTAAACCCAAAACTGACATTTCTCCTTGTATAGAAAGAAAACAAACAACACACGCAAAGTAAAGTCAAAGCTCCCTCAAGCCTGTAAAAACTTGTGATAATGGCTTGCTTTATTTTTAATCACTGGCTTTAAACAAGTTAGCAGTTGTCCCAAGGAGGTGCAACTTAATCCAGGGTTGTTGGCCCCACATACAATCTAATTGTATTGTTTAACAGCACACACACACATGCACACACACCATGATTTATTGGGTCAAACGATGAGGCGAGTGAAGCTGTGTACGACTTTATGTTTGCCCCCTTTTTTTCAAGTGTCTGTAGCTGTCATCTGAAGAATTAGGGTGCCTCTAATAAAAACTGAAAGTCAAAGGTCAGGGAAGGGTTGGCATGACAACAGACATGGATTTGCAATTGTTGCGGTGATGAGAGTCGACTGGAAAGCTGGGCGTGTATGTGCATGAGGTTAAATCCGGGGGAGGGGGGCAGACAAATCGAGAGCGTGCGTGTTTCTGAATGTGTGCTAATGTGTGTACCCCTATTAGAGAATGCCACACAATACCAATGGAAGGATAAAGACATTGTTGAGATTCCATAGAGCAAAGACTCAAGGACAGCCGACTGTGTTAGCAAACTCAAACAGGATGCACAGACGCAAACACAGATAAAAAGTGTGTTGAAGGGATATTCCTGGAGCAGCTGGAGGTTTTCTCCTGGGTTTTGATGTGTGTTAACTACAGGAAGTGATGCTTCTTGTTGCAGGAAATGATGCAATTTAGGACACTGGGCAGGATATGAGTTGTATCGTGATTGTGTGTCTGCTAGGCCACCTGCATGGAGGTTTTCACTCAACCTCGCAGCAACTACAACCTTAAAGTTAATTTCATGAACTCCACAGGTACCTCTTTAGTTACTATCAGAGTGTTAACAGTAAATATAAGTTTGCTACTTCCCACATATGCTGTACTCCAATAATCCTGTGGCTCTATTTCATGTATTATTATTATTGATATGTTGTTGGTTAGTACATTTACACAAGGGAACCAAGGAAATGATTAATAAGTTGGAATTTACAGCAACAATCTTAGGAACATTTTATATCATATTTAAAGCTAAAACAATGTAAAAATAACCTATAATTAACCTTCATGTAACCCATCCTCATGGTCCTAAATCCAGGTCTGCAGACATGACGTGCCCGTGTGTTTGCAGTATTTTTATTATAGTCTTTTTCCCACATGATGTTAGACATGCTCATAGTATCGTGCCGGCTAATATTGGCTGTGATAATTGCAGTTAGGGTGTGCAGACAGCATTCCCAGACAGTACCATAAGTTCACTCTTACTTTTGCCTTTGCTGTTCTTCCCTCGGACTCACCGAGGTTGCTTGTGTGGCGGCGTTTTAATCATCAGAACATAAGTGCAAATTGCTTCACAGCGTAGTGTGAAATGTTTTTTAATATGCCGTGTGTGTGTTTGTTTTGCATTCCACCTCTGCAGGACTGAACCTCTCGGTTAATTAGAGACCTGTTACTCACCCCCACTGACAGGCTTTTTTTGATATTTAAAAAAAATGGTTTTGTGTTATGAAGGTATCGAAAACGTACAAATCTTAAATTTAACAAAGTT